CGTGAAAATATACCATGCGATCTGTCGTGACACAGACGTACTACATGGCGGTGAGGCAGGGAAGAGGAGAGGAAAACGAGATACTCGGCGTTCTCGCGCACTCTCGTGCACACGAAATGAGTCTTGCATATATACAGGGTATTTAAAAAATACCGGAACCCCCGGATAACTTTGCAGGATTAAGTTTTCATGAAAAACTTTAAATACAAAAGTTGTAGAAAATCGAGTAACGGACTTGATGGTGACCTTGAATTTGACCTTGGCCATGACCTTCAAGGACATTTTGGAGGTCAACCTGCATTTTTTAAATGAGAACTCTTATTTTTTATTACACTGTTTTTTTCTACCAATTAATTTGAACAACTTTTGTTTAAACATTTTTTTATTTGTCTAATATTTTTTGAGATATTCGAAGAAAACTTGATAACTTTTTCAATATTTACGATATCTCGCTTACTGATTTTTAGAAATTTCAAAATCATCAAATTAACAAAAATCAGAGCACTATTGTAACAATACATTCTTGAGACTAAATAAAGCAAAAAGTCTAGTACCACATTTTCTTCCGACAAATAATTAGCGAGATATCGTAAATTAAATTTAAATTCAATTCGTAAATTAAATTCAAAGTCACCATCAAGTCCGTTATTCGATTTTCTACAACTTTTGTACTTAAAATTTTTCATGAAAACTTGATCCTTCAAAGTTATCCGGGGGTTCCGGTATTTTTAAAATACCCTGTATACATTACGTGGAATTGCGAGTGAAAGAAACATGTGAAGAAAGAAAAAGAACATGTTATATTAAAGTGGGTAGAAGCCTTGCATTTCTTGGCAACGCGGAACGACACTATGCGTATCAAGAAAAAAGCTATTCGAAACGAGCGTGAAAGTTACGGGTTTTTTCTAAATTTCTAAGTTTCTCCAAAAATTTCTCACATCGATCGGGTCGAGTATTTTATTTATGTCGATGAGGAGACACTCAACCTACATTATAAAATTAGATCAGCCCAAAGAACATGAATCAAGTTAAACGAACTCAATTTCTGGGCTGCATATGGAGAACTAATTGTCCTAATTTTTTCCAGCAGAAACTTTTTTATGTTCTTTTAAGGGAATATCCACTTTAAAGCAGGAAAAAACCGGAACATAGATATAATTAGGAATTTCTTTTAGGGAAGCTAAAAAAGCATGTTAAAGTAAAATCTATTTGAAATTGATCGAAGGAAATAATTTTGTTATCTATTGGATCGCCCAAAAAAGAAGGAACCATTTCAAATGGATTTAATTTCAATGTGCTTTTTTGTTTTCCCTAAAAAAAATTCCTAATTATGATCTATTTTCTGGCTTGCTTTAAGGGAATGCCCTTTTTTAATGAATATCCCTCCTTTAAAAGGACACAAAAAAATTTTTGCCGTAATTAGTGACGTGAATTATACGACATCTTGCATATCATACACGCAACTACGTCTCAGTTTTCGTTAACCTTTCACTGCTGATTAAATTTTGTAGTTCAAATTTCCATGAAAAATTGTTTATCCGACTAGTTATTGCCCGATCTAATTCGATTACAGTTGATGCGCTATAACCCGAGTAAAAAAATTAATAGAACTCTGGTAAGGACCTGATTATTTTTCCCTAACATTAATCGAGCCCTAGGGATATAAAGACAAGGGCCTTACAAGATGTGTAACGAATAATTTAACGGATCCTCATAAGGCAATATTATGACGGCCTTATAAAGCAATATCAACAGGGCTTTATCTTGAAAGAGACTAATAAATATGGCAATTAATAAAACTAATAAAATTTGTTTTTAATTACAGTATAATTAAAAAATTTTTTAAAGAACCAAATAAAGTGTTCCTATTTAAACAATATTAAACTATGACAATTTTATTATATATTTCAGATTTTATTAATTTTCTATAACAAAACTTGATTTTGTATATCTAAAACATCCTCTTAAAAGATTTTTCTAAGGCTCACATCAGTTTTTTATGTTAAAGCGTTATTTTATAAAATCTAAGGCATCCCTAAAAAATTCTTCTAAGGCTCTTATCAGTTTTCCCTCTATCAAAGTCTTATTTATTAGATTAAAGGCATCCCTTATAAATCCTCTTAAGGCCTTCTCAGCTTTCCTTATCAAAGCCTTATTTATTAGATCTAAGACATCTCTAAAAAATCCTTCTAAGGCCTTTCTCAGTTTTCGCTATCAAAGGCTTATTTATTAGACCTAAAGCATCTCTAAAAGATCCTTCTAAGGTCCTTATTAATTTTCCCTATTAAAACCTTATTTATTAAATCTAAGGCATCCCTGATAAATCCTTTTAAGGTCCTCATCAGTTTTCCTTATCAAAACCTTATTTCGTAAAATCTAAGTTATTCCTAAAAGATCCATCTCGAGGCCTGATATAGTAATAATGAGACATCCCTTCTTAGAACATCCTACTTTTAATCTTATCAGGGTCTTATGCAGTCTTATGCAGGGTCATGAGGATGGCCCTAACAATTTTTTGCTTGGGAATTTACATAACACATATTCAGTTATTTTTATTCAATCTTCTGCCAATCTAATTATCGTGGGTAAGAGAGAGAGAGAGAGAGAGAAAGAGAGAAAGAGAGAGAGAGTTCGATAAATGTGAGGAAGCTGTGCTTCCGAGACATTTGTCCCAAGAACGACATAATTTCGAGAGCCTCGCACCAAGATCGATACATCAGATTATTCCTCAAGCGAGCAAGTGTCTCGTATAATATAGGAAAGCAGTAGGCGACACGACGGTGGAGCCGTCGTAGCAAAATCTACGGACGCCCTTACTTGGACTCGTGCCAGCGCATGTCGCTTTCACTCGGAGTTGCCACGAAGTTTCTTTCTCCTCCTTTCTCTTTCTTCCTCTTCTAGTGTTCGATCAACGTCGCAACATCACCCATCATCTTTCGCCCTTTGTCCCTCACGTCCGATGCACACATGCGTCTGTGTGTCAGGTACGATCGTCCAAGAACGCTATTATCGAATTACGTTGATTTCCCGTTGCCTTCGCGACCATGGCATTACAAGCGGCGTTGCTACTACGCAACAAGGCGCAGAGCACCGTCATTGCTATCTCTCCCGCATTCTAACGATATTAAAGTTCGCCCGTTTCTTCTCTATTTTCTTCTTCTTCTTTTCCTTCTCCTTGTTCACGAAAAGGTCGGGCAAGAAAATAAAAGATGTACCCAGCACACCCAATGCACACGGTGCTAGTGTTTCTCTCTCCTCTTCTTCACTCTTTCTCTCTTTTACTTATTGTTCTCTCGTTCGCACTGATCCGCGTCCTTGTGATCAAAGAGTAGAAGTTATTCTCCGCGAATTCTCCCAGGATTATCGAAAAGTAAAACAAGTAGTTGTTTGAAGACGAATAGAGAAGCAGATTCTGTCTATGCTTGCTATTGACTCACGACATAACCGTTCGCTCCGGCGATATTACTACTCCGGCGAAGTTCATGTCGACTCTTGGTTGCTGGAGGAGGGTTTCAAGTTCATCTGATATTCAAACGCCAAATATAAACAAGTAATGGGCGACTCCACGTCGCAACGAATTGATGCTCATTGATTACTTTCACAGTCGATAGACGGTCGGAAATTTGTCTATTATTTGCATGAAATACTTTCGCAATAACAGATCTCTCCTCACCGTTTCATATCCATTTCCTCATCGATGAATTTAATACAACTAAAACTGTGTAATCATTTTTCACTGCACTAGACGCATGTATTTCCAATGTGTGTTATTCGACTATATTAAGAGACACAATAATATCTTGCATTAGCTCTTTTAGATTTTGCAAAAATTAAATCTTTTTTGCAAAATATCCCCACCCCCATTATTTTTGCAAGTTTAAAAGTTTTTATTAGAACAAAAATTAAAAAGCATTTAGTATCAAATTCATCCATACATAAGAATATCAGTTTCTGCAATATCATTTTTGGGAAATAATCAGTAGAGACAGAGAGAGAGACAGAGAGAGAGAAAGATAGGGGGAAAGCAGGAAGGAGAGGGGGAAAGGAAAAATAATAAGCGGTTTTTCAAACTATCCCTAAACGGTTAATTAATACTTCAACATCTTTCAGCCTATAATATTTTTTTCGTTGAAAGTACGATATCCTGCACGATGCTTGCACTGATAGGACTTGCGATCGTTTAAAAATATTAATATTAAGAAATGAAAATTCGACATGTGTATTAACACAACAAACACATTTCTAGCGCGCACGATAGATATAGAATCCGAAGGTACAAATAAGAAAGTTGTATAACAAGAAATAAAATGACAATAGCTTAGGAAATGAAATTCGAGTCCTACGCCTATTCTATGAATTTATTGTCCGATGTTTGTCTGATGCAGCAGGTTTAAATGCATATTTTTAAGTAGGAATATTGATCGTAAAAAGGAGAAAAGAGAAATAATATATGTCTATATTATTCGTTTCTAAGAAACAATTAACAAGTAAAAGCCATTTTTAATGAGATTTACTTACAGAATTCACTCCACTACACCCACTTCACTAATGAGTTTATTTTTTCTCTTCAGTATCTCAAAATTTTATGCTGTTTGAAAAATGACAGTAAAATTTTATTTCCAATTTGACACTTTCGGTCTGCATATTGCCTGTATTTTGAATTTTCCGACACTTTATATATTTAAGTTATTTTCTGTACCATTAACAAAATTTTTGCATTAACATAAGTATTTATCCAAAAACTAGATAGTACTAATATCCGCAGTAGATCAAAATATTTATTTATTGTTTGTGCTCGCTACAATTTTTGCCACAAGAGAGAGAGAGAGAGAGAGAGAGAGAGAGAGAGAGAGAGAGAGAGGGGGGGGGAAGAGGAAGAGAAAAAGGAACGGAGAAAGGAAGATTGACTCTCATCATTTTTTCACTCATTTTTCAACAAAAATTCCGTTCTGCCTTGTATTTTCTTTGTTTTTATGCCTTGTACTTTATTTATTTTACAGTAACGGCGACAAGGTGACAACGTAGACAGTAAACGCACGTAGACAACAATCGATTGAAAATGGCTAAGAGCGCTGAGAGATTGCCTGGTTCTTCCACCAGACTTAGGACTAGAGACGACGGATGCTGCTCCGTGAATTTCTTGAAATACGTCCTTCACATTTACAACGTGGTGTTGTTTGTAAGTACAACATGTGATTCTCCTTATTTTTCTCTCTTCTGATTACGCACGCGCACGACAGTGCGAAATAATTTATTTCGAAACATGTTTATGGGCGCACGTGCGTTAGCATAAATGAAGGACGCAGGTCGTGAAATTGTGCATCCTGCTTCATAAAAACTCGCTCGACCCTTTGCATCCCTGACGAGGTCGCTTTAATCAAAGTCCCGTTTCTGTAACTGCCACTGTAGACTGCTGCAATCGCGGGTTCTTCTTCGGTAAGTTCGTAAAATCGCCTCGTCTATACTACAAGATCGTCAAGTGAAACACTTTATTTTTCTTAAAGTTCTCCCAAAGTTTCCTGCAAGTTCCTCTTGCAAAACGAAACTTTGTATAAAAAGTCGGTATTTTCAATAAAATGGAGAAATTGATTCTGATTGCAATTTATTAATGAGATAATCAAAGATATTAATGAGATAATCAAAGTATAGAATTTCCGTGTACAATTCCAATAATATAAATGTCACAATAGTATTAATAACAAAATCAAAACTATACAATAAATAAACAAAAAATAAAACGAGGATAATTACACATTGCAAAAAAGATTACTCGAAATCATTGGAATTGAGTTAAACGAATTTTATTTCATCAATTTATATAAAGAACTATTCTCTAATTCTTTCAGCAAAATTCTGTTGTCTTTTTTAAGTCTTTTGTTTGTCTAAAACGAAATCAAAATTGAGTTCAATGAGACAATTGTGAAGCTCGGCAAACACATTATTCTATGGTCGTATTTATTATTTAATTTATTTAACGATTCATTTAACATTCCAATCATAGGTAAAGGTTAATATAATTAAATATAACGTTATTGTTTATGCTTGCTACAAGAGAGAGAAAGAGAGAGAGTGAGAGGGGGGGCGAGAGGGAGAGGAAAAAGAATAGAGAAAGGAAGGTTGATTCTCTCACGATTTTTTCACTCATTTTTCGACAAAAATTCCATTCTGCTATTTTCTTTCTATTTCTTTGTTTTACAGTAACAGCGACAAAGTGACAACGTAGACAATAAACGCACGTAGGCAACAATATAATTGAATATAACATTAAATAAGTCGTTAAATAATCCATCGTCACGTATTATATTATTCAAATGATGCAGTTAAATCAATCTTATGATAGTTGAAAGAATATTTATATCACACATACTACGTTTCAATTACATTTCAGTTTTGCTAACTTTTTACTTTTATTTGACTAAGTTTTTCAATTTAATTTTTTATTTCAAGTTATCATTCTAACTCGATTTTAGCTTTTTTCGACTGGAATACAATTTACTAAATAAAATTTACTTAACTTCGATACTTACTGTTAATTTCCTTTATCCGATTTTTTTCTTCAATGTAGAAATATCATGATTATATTGATTTGATAATGAAATAATAAAATGAATGGCATATTGGCAAGATTTTTAATAAGAATATCAAAAAGTAAATGTACTAAGTAATTTGCCTGCTCAACGTTACACGAAAGTAAACAAATTTAAGAACTAAGATTTTCCTCTATTTCATCAATAGGCGTGATATATTAAGCAATAATTGCTGATTGTGGCAGATGACTATTACTGGTTCCCTCATGTTAAGACTAATTTTACATAACAATTATCGATTCCAGATTTATTAACGTTCGAGCTTCAGCGCGTGATGTTGATTTCACTACATATGAAATTTTCAGAAAATTTATGCGTTATTATTGTAAACGTGAACGTATTGTACATACATCAATCGAATGTTAATCTGCTGATGTTGAAATCAGATATTCTTTTGCATGTCCATATTGGTGCATGTTGGCATTTGATACTTAATATAAAAATAAAGAAAAAAATGTCGACGCTCATAAGAGGATTATAGGATTCTTGTCGGGTTGTAAAATATTGATTCTTTTACATTTTCTTAGCTTTTTAAGAATCTACTGCAAGAAACTAAAGGTACAAATGTTTTTAACGCGTTACAAATTTTTAACGCGAGAAACATAAAAAATATAGAGACAAAGTAGAGACAATAGCGAATTTTGCTTCTTTTCTCCATCCTTCTGTAATGTTATTATTAGGAAGTTGCATTAATTCATGCTGTTTTTTACTTGAAATATTTATTATTTTCATAATATGTTACAATCGGATCAATTAAAGTAACTACCATTGTTTATGACTATTTTTTGCCATTTTTCTGGTAAAAGTTGAATCGTTTACCGAAAGAAGAATTTGTCTTTTGAGGCGATTCAATCATCGACCCATTTTCGAAGTTTCTCAAGGTTGGCGAAGTGCATGTTTTCCAAAGAGTATTGCATAGAGAGGAACAGGTGAAAATCGAAAGAAGCAAGATCGAGGAAGCCGAATGCAGGGAAACTTCCCATTTTAAGCTCATCTTGCCATTTCTTGCCACGAGTGGTTTAATGTTGCCACGTTGGAAGATCATTTTCCGCCTATTATTGACTACTGACGGTTTTTTTGCATCAATTCGTCGTTCAATCGCTTCAGTTGACGTTGATAAAATGTGGCACTTCACTGGCATTCCGAAAGTTTATGATACATTACGCTTTTCATATCCCACAAAATGCATAGCATTATCTTCATTCGGTGAATATTCCACTTTGATATCGATATTGAAGGTTATTTGAAGTCCACCCACGACTTCCTCCGTTTCGGATTTTCGTAGTACATCTACTTTTTGTCCCCAATCACGATACACCACAAAAAGCTCTTCTTCCTATTTAGGAAGCAAGGAAATGTAAATGTTCAAGCGATTCAACTTTGAGCTTTCTGATAATTGATGAAGGACCTATTTTCCTTTCTTATGGATTTTCCCTACATCGCCGCCTCGAAACGATTGATTTGTTGATCCCCGCCGTCATCCCAATAATATTAATGCAAAAAATACTTACATGTACAAGAAAACCTGATGTATTTTACAATACATAGTTACTTTACGTTACTTTACGTTATCAAATCACTACATGAAATGCCAGCTTTTCCGGTATGACGCACGTTTATATAGTCGCCCTATGTTCAACAAGATACATGTATATATTACTCCATACGATGATGAGATAAATACTGTCGAAAATCATTCAAGATGTAAAGAGTGAGGTCGACCAGTATCAAATGATGTACATCAATAACCAAAATACACGATAACGTTTATCGCTCTGGGAAATGACCTTGAAAATAAAAGTCAAGGTCAAAGTCAAGGTCATCATAAGGTAGCTCACTTAAATCCTTACAACTTTTATTTAGATCATTTTCCTTGAAACTTCAATACTGAAGAATTATTTGGGGTGGAACATTAAAATGGGACACCCTATATACTCGAAATTTAATGTATATTCAAGATGTATTATCTGACCACGGATTATTTTATAATAGTAAAATATGTACACATTGTTCAAAAATCATGTACATTCTATTCAACTTCTTTTGTTAATAACTTTTTAATGAACAATGAGCGACGGCTGCAACTTTTTGCATAACACTCAGGAACATATTCTTAACAACATATGTCAAGGTCATGGACTTTTGAGGAGATTGACCTTATGTGCATATTTACCCTTATAAGGTCTTACTTTATTCGGATCATTAATTTCATGTAATAAATTAACTTTAAACTTAAACGATCTACGGTTATACAGTTTAGGGAGAGATAAAGTATCTCCCGAAAACTGCGCGGTTACCGCTTCTAGGTTACCGCAACATTATGCGTCGTGCGGATAACGTCTTCTCGTGTTACGAGAATAGGAAGAGGTTCCTTATTTTTCGAAAAATAAGACACCTCCACGCCGCGCCATCCTTTTTACTTCCAGCTCTCTTCGTCTTTGTCCTTGTATCATTTTTTTCTTTCCCCCTGTCTCACTCGTATTCTCGATATTATGAAAAAGTAGAGTACCATCGACGCTCGTGTGATATATGCCATAAAATGCTAATAAAGTTCTCGTCATAAAGTGCAGACATCTTACACGATGTCTGGGATATAAGCGCAAGCAACGAAAAATAATGCACATAGCGGAAACAAGATAAGGAAGGAAAGAAAAAAGGATGAGAATGACAGAAGATCGAAGTTTTTTAAAATGGACGAGAAGGAAGAAAAAGCAAAGTGAAAGAAAACTGATCGACGGTCCACGCCTGCTAACTTTGTAGTAATTTCGATCTCGAAAGTTATTGGCGCTATAATAAAAAGCGCAAAATTGGTAGAGAATCTGGCAATTAACTTCCAGTTAAGACGATTTCAATTGAAAATCGTCCACTATACAAGGTGTTTCATTTTAAAAAACGCACTTCGATAATTCTTCACCGAAGCATTTTCAGCAAAAATGTTTCGGACAAAATTTGTATGATTTCCAGGGGGACATAAAACAACTATACTATTTTATTTACAAATGGGACCACTTTCGAAATATTCACTGATCACGGATCACCGTCTTTTTCTATTTAATTAATTTAAACAGCTTTTGTCTGAAACATTTTTTTATTTGTTTAATATTTTTTGAGGTATTTAAGGAAAACTTGATAACTTTTTCAATATTTAACTTACGATATCTCGCTAATTATTTGTCGGAACAAAAAATTGCACTAGATTTTTCTGCTCTATTTAATTTCAAGAATGTATGGTTACAATAGCGCCCTGACTTTTGTTAATTTGATGATTTTGAAATTTCCAAAAGTCAGTAAATTAACAAAAGTCAGGGCGCTATTATAACAATATATTCTTGAGATTAAATAGAACAGAAAAGTCTAGTACCACTTTTTCTTTCGACAAATAGTTAGCGAGATATTATGAGTTAAATATTGAAAAAATTATCAAGTTTTCCTTAAATATCTGTATAATAAAATCTAAATAATAAAAAAAAAATATTAGGCAAATAAAAAATGTTTCAAACGAAAGTTGTTTAAATTAATTAGTAGAAAAAGACGGTGTAATAAAAAATTGGGTTTTCCATTTAAGAAAAGTAATAATCAGTGAATATCTTGA